GGCAGCTAGCTGGCGCAGTAGATAGCACACCGGCTCTGAAGTCAGGAGGACCTGAGTTCAAATCTGCCCTCAGACCAAACACTTGACTCGTACTAGCTGTGTGACCTTGGGCAAGTCACTTAACTCCAATTGCCTTACCAAAAAAAATAAAAACAAACAAACTTTTTAAGTAAAAGCTCAAACTTACAAAATGAAAATGGATCATTTGGGACTTTGCTACACTACAAAAAGAGAATCACATTTTGGTGGGCGCAGAAGACAATCTGGTTACCCGAGTTAGTCTGGCACAGTGGAAAAAACACTGCTGGTCTTGGGCTCAAGAAATTTGGGTTTGACTCCCATCTAGGCTCATACAAGCTGTGATCATTGGCAAATTAACTTCTCATGCCACACAGGCAGGCCAACAATAAATATGTATTAAGTGCCTACTAAGGGCCAGGCACTGTACTAACCACTGGAGATACAAAAGAAGGGAAAAGACAAGTCCTTCCCTCCAGGGAGCTTTCAGTTTAATGGGGAAGACAAGGAGCAGACCGATATGTACAAACAGGTGGATACAGGATAAAGAGTAATTAATTAAGAGAGGGAAAGCACTAGGATTAAGAGGGGTTGGGAAAGACTTCCTAGAGAAGGTAGGATTTTATTTGGGACTTGATAAAAGGAACCTGGGAAGCCAGGAGGCAGAGATGGGGAGGGAGAGCATTGCAGGTATGGGGGAAGGCCAGAGATAATTCTGGAAGGGGAGAGATGGAGGGTCTTGGTGGAACAGTCAGGAAGCCAATGTCCCTGGCTGGAAGAGTATGTCGAGGGAGGGTGTGTGTGTGTGTGTGTGTGTGCGTCTCTTGGCAGCTGAATAGAAAATGGATCCATCAGCAAGCTAGTGCAGCATCCCAGGGCTAAGATGATGAGGGTCAGCACCAGTGTGGTAGCAGTATCAGAGAGAAGGGGATATATTCAAGAGATGATGCAAAGGTGAAATCCCTAGGTCTTGGCAATGGATTGGAAATAGGGGGTAAGATAGTGAGGAGTTGAATGACATATAGGTTTTGAGCCTTGGGAACTTGGAGTACGGTGGTGCCATTGACAATAATATTATAGGGATTTTTGGAGGGGGCAGGAAAAGGTTTAAGACAAAGAATAATAAGACTGATTTTGGACATATTTGTGAGGGATTGTCTGATGTTGGCTACATGCCATGTGGAGGTTGTGGCAAGATGGGGCAGGGACAAGATATTAGGAAGTAATCGGAGCTCACGCTCCTGAGGCAGGGGACTGTGCCATGTGGAGTTGTGGTGAACTGGGGTAGGAACAGGATATGGGGAAGTGGCTGGAGCATGTGCTCCTGAGGCAGGGAGCTGTGCCACGTGGGAGTGGGACGGCAGAGAACGAGCTCCCTTTGTCTAGTCTTCTCCCTAGGTACAGCGCTAACCCCAGACGTCTCCTTCCGGTATCTGGGCCTAGCTTCCTTTGTCACGTCCTCTCCCTTGGTGCAGTGCTAACCCCAGACGTCTCCTTCCGGTATCTGAACCTACAACCAATCACTAGTAGGTGGGCTGAGGAGGAGGGGCTAGGAAGGTATATAAGGGGCGGTAGGGATCAGAGCTCGCTCTCTTGCTCCTGCTCTTGCTTTCCTGCTTGGCCTTGCTGTGATGGTCTCTGAATAAAGTTCGAGTGCTTGCACCTCCTGATCGGCTCGTCTCTGTGTTTATCCGGGTGGGCTCCGAGGACTGGTGAGTATGACCCTGGCAGCCTGCTCCTGTTAGAAGGAGAGTGCACGGCCCGACCGGCACACATATTGACTTTAAGACATCTCAGTTTCCTCATCTGTAAAATGGGTTTAACACTTGCACTATCTACCTCACAGGGTTGTGAGAAAAGTGCTTTGCAAATCTTAATAAGCACTATATAAACGATGCAATTTTGGGGGTAATTGTTTACAGATCTTTTACTGGCCAGGAAAGGGAACATTTAAGTCAAAGTAATAGATATCATTAACCGTTAATTGAAAAGCCAAAGGCTAAATCTCTATATTTGAAATATGTCAATGACCAAATTATTTGAATTACAAAAAACTTTAATTTACAGACATTTCAGGAAAATGCTAGTAAAGTACATGTGTACATTTCTTAGGGAAAAAAAAAACCACAACAATCCACAGTGGATATATGACAGTGAGAATGCAGTGTTTACCATCTCTAAATTATGTCGGTCTTAGTATTTGGGAGAGTCAAAATTTCACAAAACATCTCAATATTTTTCTTTACAATGCTTTGCTTCTGTAGACATACCAGCTTAAAAAAATCTTAGCACTTATTTGGGTTAAGTATTTTTTAAAAGTAAAGATGCTGAAAATTGTCATTATAATTTTTAATTTTATGTAAAATTATTGTAATGTGTGCCTGGATATATGCCCCTTCCCTCTCCCTTTCTCATTTGAATGGAGAAAATAAATTATCTGTCCCACAGGAGTGGGACATAGAAATGCGGAGGCGGGGAAGGCCGAGAAAGGGGCTGTTACAGAGGGAAGGGCTTCCTGGGGGTTTAGCAGGAGAAAGCTACAGTCACCAGGGGACCTGTTTGTTCTCCTCTTGGAACAAAGAAACAACAGTGAAGGCTTAGAGGACTTTCTGACCTGACAAACAGTACCATGGAAAGTGTTGGGGAAGCAGGGTGTGGTGCTGCCTGTCTGGAATCTCTGTTTTCCTGGGGAAGCTGAGGCTGGTGGATTGAGCTCCCCAGTGACAAACTAAGGCTGAGCTGATGACAATGGGGTGTTTGTACTGTCTGCCCAGGTTGGAAACCTGGCAGGTCAAAGTTTCTGTGCCGATCAGCAGTGGAATCTGGGTGTGAGTGGCCACTTTTCTTCCAGCCTGCCCAAGATAGGGAGACCCAGTCTTAAAACGATAACTCACATTTTTATAGTGTTTACCACGGTGAAATTATGGTCCCATTTGATCTTCATAACAACCCTGGGAGTAGGTACATTATTACCTTCATTTTACAGATGAGGAAACTGAGGCAAACAAAGGTTTAGGATCACACAGCTAGTAAGTGCCTGAGGCTGGATTTGAACTCAAGTCTTCCAGACTGCAATCCTGACGGTCTACACCTAGACTGTACCTTGTTTCCTCCCTTGGCCAGAGCTGGGACAGGGATTATGGGACAGGGTTTTATTAGAGCTCTCACAATCGGGCCTGTGAATCTAGGGATTTACCCACATCTTTGACCAATCTATTCCATTATTGTCAATTTCCCAGCTTCCAATAAGAATTCTCCCTAGAATAGGATGGACTGACTTCACCCAATGAAATAATGCAGAAGGAGAAGATGGTGGGGAGCCTGAGCAGACCGGGAGGGATCATACACACCCAGCATCTTTGTATTTTGCTGAGTCTCTTCAGTACGTCCGACTCTTCATGATCCCAGGTTGGGGTTTCTTGGCAAAGATGCTGCAGTGGTTTGTCATTTCCATTTCATTGACAGGCATCTTACCCAATTTCCTTATCTCTAAAATGGGGACGACAGCGGGGCCTGCTTCACCAGGCAGTGGTGAAGGTGAAATGAGAAGGTGAGGAAAAAAGGCACTTTGAAAACCCTCAAGCTGCTGTGGAAATCAGCTCTCGTTAACCAGGTGAGGCCAGGGTTTGCAGAGCGAGCAAAAGCACCTGGAGACTGCTACTGCTACTGAATACTACTACTACTACTACTGTTACTACTACTACTGCTACTACTACTACTACTGAATACTACTACTACTACTGCTACTGAATACTACTATTACTACTACTAGTACTACTGAATTCTACTACTACTGTTACTACTATTACTGTTACTACTACTACTGCTACTACTACTACTACTGCTACTGAATACTACTGTTACTACTACTACTACTAGTGAATTCTACTACTGATACTACTACTACTGCTACTGCTACTACTACTGAATACTACTACTACGGCTACTACTACTACTACTACTACTGCTACTACTGCTACTACTGCTACTACTGCTACTGCTACTACTACTACTACTACTACTAATAATAATAATACTAACGCTACCGCAGAATCGACCGCTGGGCCCCGGGCTCCCAGGAAGGCTTTAAGCCAGGGACTGCTTAGTCCACAGGCTTCATGCTCATCCAGCTGGCTCCTTCGGGATTCCTCACCGTCCCAAAAGAGGGCCTCAGTTTCCTCACCTGTAAAAGGTGATAAAGGTCACAGAGGGCAGACCTCAGTTTGGAGAGAATACTGGGCTAACTCACAGCCTGCTTCCCACTTGTGACTTTGGGTCACTCGGGGTCTTCTATAAAATTAAGGGACTGAGCTAGATGGACTCTAGAATAGGTTTACATTTCTAAATTCGTCATTCTGACAGGACTCAGATGTGGGACCCTGGACGAGTCACTTCACCCAGTTTGCCTCAGTTTCCTCATCTGTGAAATGGGCCGGAGAGGGAAACGGCAAACCACTCCGGTATTTCTGCCGAGAAAACCCCAAAAGGGGTCACGAAGGGTCGGAGGCTACGGAACAACAAAAGCCTGGGGGCGGGGGGTGGTCGCAGACTCTGGGCGCCCAGCGGGGGGGCTCTCTTAGATCCTGGAAGTAACAGGAGCCCCTGGGAGTTACTGAATGGGGGTACGGGGTGTGAGTGTGTGTGACACGGTCAGACCCAAGTACTGCTTCTGGGGCCATGGCTAATTAATTTGACGTCTCTTTGCCTCGGTTTCTTCATCTGTAAAAAGAGCAGCCTCAACGCCCTCGGGGCTCCCTTCCCGCTCTCGCTATGGGAGCGCACCGCAGCGCCCCCTGCGGCCGCCTCCGCCGCCAGCCTCGCTCTGGCGAAGCGCGCCCTCCGTTTGTACCGACGTGAGGCGCCGGGGCGGGGGTCAACGTCCTGACGCCATTACGCGCGCGTGTGTGCGCAGGCGCAGACGGGACGTCGCGCGTCCCCGAGAGGAAGGCTGGTGCTCCTGCTCCGGCTCCGGCTCCGGCTCGGGCTCGGGGCCATGCTGGAGCCGTCGGGGGGGCCGTCGGCCCCGGCCCCGCAGCCTCCGGCAGAGGCCCAAAGGAGGGTCCGCCGAGGTAGGCCGGCGCAGGGGGACGCCGGGCGGCCCCTCCCGGGATCCGCGCGCCTCGTGTCTGTCCGGTCCTTGCTTCGTTCTGTCCGCACAGTCCGCTGCCGAGGGCGGGGAGGGGCCGTGGAGCCCAGGTCCCCGTGTGCGGACGAGGAAACTGAGGCACGGTTTCGAAGCCCTCGTTACTGCGCGCCCACTGTGTGCCGGCACTGCGCTAAGCGCTGGGGATGCCCAGAGCCCGGACCGCAGTCCCGGCCTCCCTAGCCTCAGGGGGCTTCCAGTCCTGGGAGGAGTGAGAGGATTCCAGGCGTCCGCGAGACAGTGCAGGGTCGGCGTAGGACGGGCTGGGAAAGCCGAGCACAGGCTCGTCCCGGGGGCCGGGGGCTCCCCATGAGCGGGGGGGCGGGGGGGCCTTGGAGGTGCGCGGAGGGGAGAGGGCAGAGGCAGGCAGGACCCCCCGCAGCTGTTGTCGCGGGCCAGGCGCGAAGTGGTGAGGGTCTGCACGGGCGGGGGAGGGGCAGAGGAGAGCAGGGGGCGGATTCCGAGGTGCGATTGACAGGCCCTGGCACCATGTTGGATCTGCCTGGGTGAGAGATAGTGACAAGTCCAGGACGATGCCTGCGTTGTGAGCCCCTTAACCTCTCTGGGCTTCAGATTTCTCTTCTATGCAGTGAGATGTTTGCACCACCAGATGGCTCAGTGCATAGAGGGCTGGGCCTGGAGTCAGGAAACCTAAGTTCAAATCCAGCTACAGACGCTTCACTGGCTGTGTGATCTTGGGCAAGTCACTGTTTGCCTCAGTTTCCTCATCTATAAAATAAGAATAATAATAGCACCTGTCATGTGGCTCAAATGAGATGGTAATTGTAAAGCTCTTAATACAGTGCCTGGCTCATAGTAAGCACTACTTAAATATTAGCAGCTATTACTATTTTTATTCCGGGTCTAAATTGATGACATTGTGTCTCAGGAGGGTTAGAGGGAAGGGGGAAAGGGCACCATTTTTTTTCTGGCCTTGCCTTAAACCAGTGTGCCACTTGGAAAAGTAACCTTAGGAGTTGGTAATTGGCCTGCACAGGCTCTAAATTAAAATATTCTTTAGTGATTCTTGTTCTATAGTAAAAGAAATTGTGCCCTTCCTACGTACCATGCTAAAATCCATACCAGCCCAAGTGAATGGGATATAGACAAATTTTCTGGTTTGATCTAGTTTTCTTTTAAGTTAATAAAGCCAATGTATTTTTCTGTGAAGGGATTCCACAGCAGCCTTTTCCTTCTGTTAGCATCTTCTTTCTCTAGCCTTAGCAGGTCATGGAGGCCTGATTGAGGTCACTTGAAGCCCATGGGTCCCCAGAACTAAGATCTGGAAAAGACCCTAGACATCCGCAAATCCCTTCATTTTACAGATGAGGGAACTCAAGGCTAGTGAGGAGCAGTGATTTCACTAAGGTCACACAGGTAGGAAATAGCAGCTGACCAAAGATACAGTAATTCTAGTCATAACTTACTTATATATTGATTTAAGGTTTGCAAAGTGCTTTACGTATGTGAAGGAGGGGAGATGTGATCCTCCCCCCCATACATTCTTTTACATCCATTATTTCATTTGAACCTCAAAGTCACCCCTTGAGTTGGGTGCACAGATAGCAGTCCCATTTTACACATGAGGAAATAGGCTCCAAAAAGGCCCACCGGACTAGTGACTGTCAAAGGTATGATTTAAAGCCAGATCCTTCTGACTGCTCCTTCAGTGCACCATCCATGATACTGTGCCGGCTTTCAGTACAGGTTTGTACAGGTGAGGGATGACTTGAATTTGTCCTAGTATACAAGAGGCAGTGAGCCCGAGAGTTTACATAGTTGCCTGAGGTCAGAGTCTTTCTGACTCTCTGGTGGGTCCCTTTCTGTGTTACCATTCTGCCTACCAACATTCCAGTGTTTGGCTAGTTTGCCAGTACTAACTAGTGTGATAGCTGAGTAGGTCTCCTATCAATGGCATCAACTTCTTTGTCAAATTTCTTCTCAAAGGTGAATATGAGCATCCCAGGTGTTGGTGTAGGGAACCTGCCTGTCCTACGAAATGACATAGTTTACCGTTTATTCTGTTGGGGAAGTAGTATACTGTTCACCTGAATAGTGTTTTCCTATTTTAAAAAGAGGTAATGGTATCTTAGCATCTACCTCCTCTTAAAAGAAAAAGCTAGGGGTTTAAACATAAAATTTAAGTTTATTATTCTCATCATGGTCTCTTGTTTAAACATTTTGTATATTTTTCTAAGGATGTCACATTCAATTTAAACAAAGTAGGTGATATTTTTCTTTTTTTAATGGGTTGATAAAATCCTTGTAAATTCTAGCTTGTGAGTTTTTCTTAAGTAAATGTTAAACATTGGAAGAGTGGGAGCCACACGGGAAAGATTTTCTTCCATCAGTATGAATACATTCTAGGAGCTGACACATTTCATGATGTCTGTTCTGCATCTATAGCGATGGGTACTTTCTTTGTACTGTATGATCTCTGTTTTGAAAGAACACATACATTGGCTGTTTTCCAGGTGTCCACTGCTTCTGAGCTTACTACCTACCTGTTGTACCTTCGGAGAAGTAATTTTACTCTATTATCGGTTTTATTTTTGTTTTTTAACTGTAACAGAAAGCTTTCGCCAAGAGCAAGGAGGGCTGGCCGAAGGAAAGGGGAAGGCCTATTTTGCCAGAGAAGTTCGACTTACTAAAAAACATGAAGAAATGTAAGAGTTTTAAGGGCACTTTGGATATATAAATTATATTAGTTTTATTTAATTATTGTGCACAAGGAGATTTCATATGACAGAAAGTGCTCTTTCTGTTACTTCATTTAACAGATTGAGTATAAGTACATATGATGGGCTCTTGAAAATAAGAGCTTAAAAGGACAAATTACATTCTTGTCATTTTCTTTAGATCATGTTCACCAATTTTTTTTTTTGCCAGAGCCCTAGTGGATAGACTGCTGGGCCTGAAATCTGACTTGCTGGGCTCCCATCCTGCCTTTGTGTGACCATGGGCACGTCTTGTAGCCATTTTGACCCTTAGCTTCTGTGTCTGTGAATTTGAGTTAAGCATACCTCCTCAGAGGGCAGCTGGATGGTGCAGTGGATAGAGCACCAGCCCTGGATTCAGGAAGACCTGAGTTCAAATTTGGATTCAGATACTTGACACTTAACTAGCTGTGTGACCCTGGGCAAGTCACTTTACCCCATTGCCTCGCCCAAAAAAAAGAAGAGTACCTCCTCTACTCTGTGTGTTGTTGTGAGGCTTAAATGAGCTGTTATTTGTAAAGTATTTTATAAATCTTAAAGTACTGTTTCCGTGTACGTTATTATGAATGAAGCTTATTTTGTTAAGTTCTGAATTCTTATTCTAATCCTGAGAGCTTTCTAATCAAAGGTTGTGATCACATGTTTTGGAAATTCTTTACTCTTTCTGTTGCATAATGTCCTAGTCATAAATTTCTATCTTCTAAGTACTGGTATCATGACTTGCTTACTATGAATGACATTAGAAGATTGAATTATTAATTACTTGTGAAATAATATATTGCCGGTGAAAAATGTTCATATATATGTGCAATGTTTACATCCAGTATAGGAAGAGTATTTTGTCTCTGCCTAATTTTTGTAACCCTACTTTTAAAGTTTTTCATTCTGTATAAACATCTTAGTTCTGTGTACGTGTACATATAGTCACATATACAGACACACATATATATCCTGTACCATCATCTTTCTCCGAGAAAAAGGAGAAAAATGTTTTTATTGCTTCTTCAAACATATGGAAGTTTAGCACAATTCTAAATGTGTAACATCAGATTCAGGGGGTACTGAAGTGTTAAACAGAAGGTTTCATATAGCAAGTTAAAAACCAATGTTATGTATGTGTGTGTTGAGGTATATATAAGTATGTATGTGTACATAAAGATATGTATTACAGTATATATTTTCACCCAAAATTAAAACATGTCCTTAAAACTCCAAAATAATTGCACAGGAGGAAAGAGGGAGTGGGAAAACACAGTCTTGTACATAGATTACACATAAGGAATATGATAATGAAAATAAAAGCAATTTCCCCAGATTGACCCTAAAAAGTCACATTGGAACCAGGTCACCTAAGGAAATAGTACTTCCTACCTTGTACTTCCTTTGTTTACTCTCAGTTTAATTCACATAGTCATTGGCCTACAACATCATGGGAGTCTTAAATGAAGAGTAATTAAAAGATTTCTTAATGAATTGGGAAGACAGTGAAAGAAAAGGTTTTATTGCACTTATTTAAGGTGCTTATTTACCTCTGTTGATCTTATTTTTAGACTAGCACAAAGATTACTGTTACTTAAAGAAATGGAGAATGATCATGATGGCCAGAAGACTGAAGAAAAGAAGGCATTTTACATGAAAGCAGCTCAGCTGGCCAGTAAAAGGAATCAGAGCCTTTTAAAGGTAGGTTACTTACATGACATGGGTGTAGTTGGTTTGTAAATTTTCTGAAACTTCTCTTTGTGTGGTTGGGAATATTACATTTTTAAGTGAATTAAATCATTTTAATTTTAAAAATTATTTTGTGCTGAGAAGAAACTGGCAGCTTTTTACAAATGTCATTTCTTTAATTTTGAGTCAGGTAAGCGGAAGTATTTTTTTTACTCACTAAGATAAGAAAACTGAAGTCCATTTAAGGAAATTATTTAAAATCATCCTCTGTGTGGGGGAATGAAATCAAAATCAGTTTTGTGCATCAAGTAGGATTTCAAACCATGACCTATATTCACATCTCTTTAAAGTTCTCTTTCACAAAAGTAAATACATTGTAACAGCCCCAAGTGGTAGAGTTCATGTTGGAGGAGACAGATTTCTGGGGACTCAGAAGGTGGCTGGAGTCGACATTCATCCAGGAGCCTGCCTTGCGGTGCCTTCCAGTCTCCCCACGTGAAGGAAACTGTGTTTTCCATCGAGCGTCTCTTTCTCCATAATTAACCCTGAGCTTTGCCTTCCATCCCAGCCTCGCATTTCCAAATCTTCTTTCTTGGAACGTTCCATGATGGTCACGTTTGTCAGGCAGCATTCATCTTTTTGGTTATAAAGTGAAGCTTTCAGTTTTGTATTTTTCAGCATTTTCAGAGATGGTTGAAGTTCCCAGTGTCTCCGTCTTCTCTTTCCCTTGTAAGTCAGTTCGCTTTTCAGCTTCTAGTGGTTTGGGCCACAACAATTTGAGAGTCACAGCCACAGTGCTACTAAAGCATCTTAGTTTACCATATGTCTTCCTTGCCAATGATGTTTGCACTGTTTTTTTAAAAACAGAAAATATATGATAATCTGAATTTCTGTCATGAAATGTCAAAAAGGAAAAAAATAAAAAACGTACCCAAATTGGCAGGCTTGTGTTCTAGCCACTAGTAGCAGCCTGCCAAAGTGGTATTTAATCTTCAAGTGGACTCAGCTTATTCAAGTGTCTCTTATTAGTCAGTATTTATTGAATGTGTCCTATTTGCTCAGTGCAGTGGGAAAACAAACGCTGTCCAAGGCTAAACACCTTATAATCAGGCATGAAACAATCAGTGGACAGTCTGAGATGGTATAAGTAGGTAGGGAGTCGTGAGTGCAGGTTGTTAGTGCCCAGGGAGTCTGTACCGTGAGATCTGGAGTGAAGAGCTCATGCAGTCAGAGAGGGCTCCGTGGAGGAAGCGGCAGTGAAGCTGCTTGGTTGGATTTTGGTTGGCAGAAGAGCAGATTAGATGGACCAAGGAGCAGGAGTTTTGGCCCAGGGTTTGGAGCACAAATAAAGGAGGAGCACGGAGAGTGTGGGGCAGAATAGTGACTGAGCAGCATGCAGAACTGGAGTCCTGGGTTCAAATTCTGGAGCTGGAGTCGGGATGAAGGACTGGAGAGACCACTTTTTTCTACTCCCTCTGTTATAGATGAGGACGTTATGCCCTAGAGAGGGAATGTGACTTGACCAAAGTCTCCCTGCTAGTGAGCAGCAGAGCGAGGACCAAGGCCTCTTTACTCCTAGCTGAGTGCTAGGCCCGGGAGGCCACACCGGCTTTTCACATCAGGGAGTGGTGAGGAGCGTGATCGTATACGTGGAATGGGACCAGATTCCGGTCTGTGTGGCCTCCAGACCAAGCAGAGCTGTTTGAGGCTTGATACTGGAGCGCTAAGAAACTGTTAGAAGTTTTTGAGTGAGCCACAGTCAGCAAGCCCTCATGAAGTGCCTGCTCTGTGCTGGGTACTCTTCTAGGCCCTTAGGATGCAAACAGAGAAGTGAGATACCCCTGCCCTCTCATGGGGGAAGCTATAGCTAGGGAAGGTGAAGGCCAGCCCCTTTTCAGTAGGAAACTCCAGAGCTGTAATCCTCATCCAGAGTTCTCTAATAGCATTTCCTTTTAGACAGGATTATGATGCTGTGGAAGGGCTGGTGGCATGAACTTATTTCAGAAAGCTGCAACAACCATGAGAACTCCCAGAAACTTTGCCTTGGTGGTCAGGAACTATTCATTTGATTAATGTTTCCAGAGCAAGAAGTGGAAAGCCAGTGGCAAGGTTAGGGAAAAGGGGAATGGGTGTGTGTGTGGTGCTTAGCATAGAATGGCATGGAATAATTATTAAACACCTACAGGATGTCAGGTGCTGTGCTGAGTGCCTTAAAAATTTTATCTCATTTGATCGAGTGTACCAGGGAAACCGTTGAGGTGACTGTGCTGATGTCCTGGTGGGTGACTGGATAGCAGGAGGAACTTGGAATCATAGGGCAGTATTGTGGTGACAATGTTTCATGAGCTTTCTGCTAGCATTTAGATGAAAGATGAATTTGAGGGTGGAGAGACTGGAGCTCAGTAAGTTTTCTAAGACTCGACTGAGCTCTTAGACTACAGGTAATATGATAGAAGGAGAGGCTAGGACTGAGGATGAGAGGGTAGTGGTTCAAAAGAGTAGTCCGTTTGCCTCTGCAGCGGTCCATTTCAAAAGAAATATTAACGAGACATAATCATGGTATGTGATTCTGTGGTCATGTGATTGTGTCCCCAGCACAGATCTTCTGTATGTCATCAGCCACCTCTCATGAAAGTGTTCCTATTGGTAAAGAAGTGTAGTGACTGAAAATGGACTTCCAAATAAAGTAATTAAAATGAAGGAAACAAAAAAAAAAAGAATTGTCCACTGGGTTTATCTTAAATGGATCTTTCTCAGTCAAGCAAGTAAAATTAAGTCTTTTCAGAGATTCGTGGAATCTTACAGCTGAAAGAGATCCTAGAAGTAATTTTGTCCAACTTTTTTTTTTTTTGGCAGATGAAGACCCAGATAGATGGTTTAAGTTGTTTACCTAGGGTCTCACGGTGCATTTTTAATTTTTTTATTCTGTAGCCTCAATTTCCTCATCTGTAAAGTGGGAGTAATACTATTTCTGGTATAAGTCTCCCCGAGTTGGCATGGAAAACTCTTTTCACCGAGGCAGATGGCAGCCCACGTAGAGTTGCCTCACTGAGGCTTCAGGAAGCTCACAGTCATTCCGCTTGTCTGTGTCAGGAGGCAGAAATTGTACTCGGGTCTTCTGACTCCAAGTCTGACCCACTAGCCATTACACTTGGCCACCTTTCAGTTCTAATAATGAGAGAAAAGAGAAATTTGGGGACAGAGGGCATTTGAGGGCATTAAGTTGGGATACTTCTTCATACAATGTGTGTGTGGGGTATGCCTATTTCAGATGGGTATCAGAAGGTTCTAGAGAGAGGGACAAACACACCAAAGGCACATTTTACCTACTTTGTATTTAGATTGTAGACCTATCAGTCTTTATCAGTGGCCACCCCGACCCACTTACAAGTTGCCTACCGCGTGCTGAGCACTGTGTTAGTCACTGGGGATGTGAAGGAAAAAAAAATGAGGTCTGCTTTGAAGGAGCTTACATGCTGTAAGAGGAGAGAGCATGTGCAAATATAAAGACGTGAGGTAATTAAAAATAAATCCACAGTATTACTTAAATATTTCAAGGACCTGTGTTTTCATTATGGCAGAAACTCCCTCCTTTTGATAACAGTTCACAACCCCTGGTAGATAGAAGTCAAGTTTATGGTAGACCTCATAGACCTCCATGAACTGAACTAGTCTGGTCCTCAGACAGTGTCCTCCAGACAGCCCTTCTGGAAACTTTTCCAGCTTGATAGAGGACCTGCTGAAGCCTGGCATTTCTCTGGCATGACTTTCAAGAAACCAGGGTTCCTTCATGCCGTGGTGAGGTCTTAGCATAGGATTTGAGTGGAGATGCTGGTTGTGGGCTACCCCAAATCCTCTTGACCCTCGGTGCTAAAGAGTTGACTGAGGTAGAACATCAGCAGGTCTGCGATCTTGTCCAGTGTGGATCCGGAGCCCTCCAGGTTATCTCATTTTATGCTCTTCTCACCCTTGCTTTCTGTGAATCTTCTTTCAAATATATCTTACTCTTTACAACTTTTCTTTCAAATGCACCTTCCCTTCTGTGGTAGGAGCAATATTTTTAAAATGGTATTTTGTTTTTTCCAGTTGCTTGGAAAGACAAGTTTTAACATTAATTTTTTTTAAAAAAATTGAGTTCCAAATTTTCTCCCTCCCTTTCTTCCCTCCCTCCTCCCCAAGACAGTAAGCAAATATGATATAGGTTATACATGTGCAATCATGTAAAACATTTCCATATTAGTCATGTTGTGAAAGAAACATTTTGTGAAAAAATTACAGTTTGCAAAAGAGAAAAACTATGAAAAAAATAAAATGAAAATAGTATGCCTGGATCTGCATTCAGACTCCATCAATTCTTTTTCTGGATGTAGATAGCATTTTCCATCATGAGTCTTTTGGAATTGGTAGGAATAATATTTTAACACGTCCCCTAATGCAAGTTAGGTTTATTTTTTTCTTAAAAGTTATAGAGACCATCGTTTAGACTTGGTTGGCAGCCGGCTTAGAGGCGAGACGGCCTCCAGGAGCTGTAGGCTTTCTCTCTGAGGCTTGGTTGATAGATCAGAAGGGACAACACAGGAAAGGGAGTTTCATTCACTGAACTAACTTGAAGGGCCCTCAGTGCCCTTCCTTGTTGAATGTTCTTGTGCTGCTGTAGCTGAGTGAACCTCCTTTTGTTAGCTGTTGCGTGATCTCCCAGTGTCTTACTTTATTCTAATATCAGACCTAAACTACCAAGAGACCAGCCTGTGTCAGGTTCAGCCCAGAGCCGCTTCTATGATTTCCTTATGTCCAAGATCTCCTTACTCCAGTCTGTCCCATTTAAGCATGTTAGAATAATCTCCCTACAACAATGTTTTCATGTCACTTCTGCTTCATATTTTGTAGTGGCTTGCCATTGAGGATTTTTAAAATAAAATTATACTTCCTTAGCTAAGCCTCCAGAACTTGGGTCCCAGTTCCATGCAGTCAACCAACCAAACAAATAAAATTAAATAGCTACTTTAAGAAGCTTACTTTTTAGGGGGGAAGAAAAGGTATATAGGTATACATTGGATGTCCCTTCATTTTCTTTGCCCTCTTCTCAGCTGACGTGACATTCGTGCTCTGATAGCTAGAATAACTGCTCCTCGTCCGTACTTAGCACGACTGGCTGGACTGTTTGAAGCTGCTGGGGGGCCAATTTATGAGAGAGAGAGGAAAACAAAACAAAAGACACCTGAGCCTTGGGGTGTTGGGGCAAGGACCACTTAAGTACGGAATGCACAGTGGCCACCTCTAAACAGCGGTGTTCGTCTGATTCTTCAGTGCTAGCAAAAGGCAACAAAGTAATAGAGAAAAAAAGAAACTAGTAACATTCATCTCTAAGGATTTAGTTGCACAGCAGTCCCGTGACAATGAATGCCGCTAAGTCATTTTTCAGTTGTTTCTGGCTCTTTGTTGACTCTGTTTGGGGTTTTCTTGGCAGAGATACTGGAGTGGTTTGCCATTACCTTCTCCAGCTTATTTTGCAGATGAGGAACCTGAAGCAAACAAGGTGAAGTGATTTGCTCAGGGTCACACAGTAGTATCTGAGGCCAGATTTGAACTCAGGAAGAGGAGTCTTCCTGACTCCAGGCCCAGCACTCTATCTGCTGTGCCACCTAGCTGCCGTATTACAATGAGTCGTAATCAAATAAAAATTCATCGTATGAACTGACGTGATAATTGATCAATATCATCCAGAACTAGGTATTCTGAACTTATTTTTAACTATGTAGCTACGCAGTGATACATAAGTATTTCCATTCATAACACGCATTTCTGCAGTCTCCTTCCCAAATTTAATTTGTTAAAAATTAGAGGCCATATTCACTCTAAATTTTGTGTATAGTTTTTTTAATTTGTTTAATGAACACCTATGCCATCCACTCTCATCTTCTCCAACCAATTCATTATTATCCCTACATTATTATAACCCATTATTGTCCCTCTTATCCCTTCTTTCTATAAATGTGCTAGAATTTCTACCTCCTTTAAAAACAAACAAAAAAACCTCTCACTAGATTCTACCGTTCCTGATAGCTGTTGTCCTATGTATCTCCTTCATTTTTCTACCAGACTCCTTGAAAAAGTTTGCCTGTACTCAGTGCCTTCACTCCCTCTCTTCCTGTTCTCTTCTAGAGTGTCTCCAGGCAGCTAGGTGGTGCAGCGGATAGAAGGCGGGGCCTAGAGTCAGAAAGACCTGAATTCAAATCCAGCCTTAGACATTAATGGCTAGGTGACCTTGGGCGAGTCACTTCACCCTGTCTGCCTTAGTTTCCTCATCTGTAAAATGAGCTGGAGAAGGAAATGGCCAGCCACTCCAGGATCTCTGCCAAGCAAACCCCTGACGGGGTCAGGGAGAGTCAGACACGACTGAAGCGACTGGCCAGCAGCAAACTACCTGCACACTGGCGTTGGCCTTCGTAAAACTCCCCTGAACACGTTCTCTCAGCAGTTACCAAACGAACGATACGCACGGCCAGCTCCTCTGGCTTCTGCTCCGGGTGCCGCCCTCTTCTCCTGCTTCCTGCCCTCTTCCGGCCCTTCTCTTGTCTGTCCAGCTGCTCCTTTTATGTCTCTCGTGTTTATTCATTTACCAAAGCGTGCCCACTCATGGTGGGTGGAACCCCAGGCTCCGTCCTGGGCCCCCTGTACCCTCTAGTGACCACTTAGATACCAGGGGCTTAGTGAGCACCTCTCTGCTGGCGATCGCTGGCTCTGGCAAGCCCTGATCCCTCTCCTGACTCCAATCACGAATTGACTGTTGGACATTTTGAAATGGATTTTCTGTGGGCCTTTCAAATGAAACCTGCCCAAAGTCGACCTCATTATCTCCCTTCCTCCTAGCATTCCTGTTGCCGTGGAGGATACCACCACCTTCTCTTCTCGTCACCTGGCTTCGCAGCTGGGGTGGCATGCTCTCCCCATCGCCCCATGGATCCAGGCACCAGACGTTGTGACCCGTGTTCTCACTCGACTCCTCCTATACATCCGCACGGCCACCTCCTGTTCCGGGTCCTCATTCTTCTCTTCTGGAATAGTGTGAGAGCCTCCTACTTGGTCTCCTTGCCTCCGAATTCTTCCTGATCCAGTCCATCTTCCACAAAGCTGCCAAAGCATTTCCCAAAGTTCAGATTTCACCATGTCACCCCTCTGTTCAGTAAACTCTAGTGATTCCCTGTTACCTCCAGAATTAAATAGAAATTGTTTGGCATTTAAATCTTTTCCCAGGCTGGCCTCTTCCTGCCTCTTCCTGCTCTTCACACAGCATACAGTTCCCCCATAGTGGCCTGCTTCATGGTCCTCGTGCGTACTGCACTCTGTCTCCCATCTCCAGGCCTTTGCACGAGCTGCCTGCAGGCCTGCAATACGTTCTTTTTTGGATTCAGAGGCCGTTCCTTTCTTTTGGATTCACCTCAGGTTCTGCCTTTGACAGGGTTCCCCAGCTACTGGCGTGCTCCCTCCCCAAACTGCCTTTGATTCATTCTGTAGAATGTGTGTACATCTCTCTGTCCTGTTGTCTCTTCCATTGGAATGTAAGCCCCTTGAGATCAGGAACTTTGTCAGTCTAATCGGAACTAATAACTAATAAGAAACTGAGTTTTAATTTCAGAAGGAAGAGAGGAGGGCCTGGAAGATTGAAGCAAGGACATGTAACTGAGAATGACTATAGGAGAGGTGCATTCTTCTAAAAGTACCAGGAAGGTTAAGGTCCAGAACAAATTGAAGCTTGCCGTGAATGCTAAGTACAACCAAAAAAATCTTTTTTTTTTCTTTTAAAGTTATTTGGGAGTACAGCAAAGATTGAAGAATGCTGGATCTGAAGTCAGGAGGACCTGAGTTCAAATTCGCTCTCAGATATTTTCTGCTAGGCCCTGGGCTTAACACTTAACTAACTCTGCCTCAGTTTCCTCATCTGTAAAGCAGGCATAAAAATGGTACCTAGCCTCCCAGGGTTGTTGGGAGGATAAGATGAGATAATATTTGAAAGCATTTTGCAGACTTTAAAGCATTATATAAATGCTGACTATTATTATTAAGAACATTTGCTTGGAGAGAATGAGATAGGAGAAAGGACAGTAGTGCAAATGTACAACACCTTTTAATTTGCTTGTTTTCTCTTCCAGAGAAGAAAAATGACTCCTTGGGTCACACGCAGCAAAGAAATTGTTAGCAGAGACTCGGATGAAAAGGCATTTGTTAAAGCCCTTAGTATGTGCAAAGTACTGTGTTAAATCTGGGAAATATGGATGGGAAAGTGAGACAGCCCTGAGGCAGCTCACACTTCTAGTAGAGTGGCTAGAAAGGATCATGGGCTTTAGGTGCAGTGCAGAGCACATGACAAGGCACTGGTGGAGGGTGGTCTTAAGGGTTTAGCAGCAGACCAGATGATAAGACCCAGTGGTCACGCGGATGTTATGGCGAGGCAGGTGGTGAGGATGATGAGCGATCCTGTTTGGCTGCAGGGGAATCAAAGGCTGGTGTAAAAGCACATTGTTAGTGTCCTTATTCTGATGCTGAATGATCTGACAGTGCCGAGGACTTTGGAGGTGAAACTTTCTTTTCCAAGTCTTAGGTGGCCGTGGCTGTTGAGGGGCCCAGGGCTGCTTCTCCACTGTAGTGATGGGGCCAGTCAGGAAGAGCCCGCAGGGGGGCCGGGGGCAGGGAGAGGCTGCTGCTCCAAGCACTTGGTGACAGCCACGGCTCTCCTAGCTGGGTCTCGGCTCCTGTGATTTTTGACTCTTTCCTGTTCTTTACCTCTAGCAGCTTGCCATGTGCTCCTCACCCCAGGGCTTCTCAGCCTTTTCCTCCTTTCCACTGCCATTGCAGCTCTGGTTCAGGCCTTTCGTACCTCTCATCCAGGCTGTTTTTTGTTTCTGTGTCTATTTCAGGTATGTCTGTATTATGTATCTATATCTTTATTGACATCTTTTATTTTTACATCACCAGCATTTCCCCCGTTCTGCTTCACGGTGCATCAGTTTGTTGAAGTCCTTCCATGATTGCGTTCCATAAATTACATTCGTCGTATTTGCTGTTTGTTAAGTGTAGTGATATTCCACTACGTTGATATACCACAGTTTGTTAGCCCTTCCCCAGACGATGAGCATTCACCTTGTTTCCGGTTCTTTGCGCCCATGAAAAGTGCTGCTCTCAGTATTTGGTGTGTACTGGAACCTTTCTTCCTGGCAGGGATCTCCTTGCCTTGTCATGCAAACTCTTGTGACAGCTTTAATAGCCTCCTCATTAGTCTTGCTGCCTCCAGTCTCCAGTCTGTCCTTCATACTGCTGCTGAAGTAATCCAGACCTCATCCTCTTGTTGTCTTGTGCAAAAAAAAAGTCAACTCCTTAGGCTTCCAGTCCAAGACTGTCCAAAGTTTGTCTCTCACCTGTCTTATTCCACATTGTTCCACGCTGCCCTTGGTGCTCTAGCCAGACTCTCACTCATGATTGCTCATCTCATCCTGTTCTTCTTACCTGCCTGCCTGCCTTTGACAGATGGACCTATCCTCCCCCTCTAATCGCTACCATTTGACATCCTTCCCTTCTTTCAGGACTCAGCCCACATGTCACCTCCTCTGATCAGTCAACAGGAGCTTAGAAAGTCCCCTACTCTATGCCAGACCCTGGGCACACAAACAAAAACCAAACTGGCCCTACTTCAAGAAACTTACTGCATGCTGCCTCCCCTCACGTGCCCTGATTGGAAGTTCCCCCCTCAATCTCTTATGCCACTACTGTCTGTACTCTGTCATATTCTGACTTGTATCATAGTTCTTTGTGCACACGTCTGTCCTCCCCACTAGACTATATATTGTCAGTGTCTTGCACGTAGGAGACATTTAATAACTGTTCACTGAGTTGTATTGAATTGAATTAACCGTTTTAATAAGTAGCTTTAAACAACTATTCCTGGAATAATTATGTCACTCAGTTTATGGTTTCTCAGGGTTATATGTTTTTATTTCTGTATCTAATTAAGTCTTTGCTTTATCGGAATCATAAAATATATATTTATTTTATTAATGTCTTCTGAAAATTCAGCATGCCCCAGTCAGGTTTCTGTTTCTGTTGTTATTTTGACTTCACAGTATCGGTAGCTTTCAGCCATCGTTTTCAGCTTTAAATTTCAGATACAGGCCGGGCAAGCTGTTTAATAGGCTTTTTCTATTCCTAAACCGACTATTCCTTCTTTAAATCTCCTTCCTCTAGACAGCAGGTGCAGCAGTGGTTGTACAACTTTGGGAAGTCCCTTTAGGGAATTTCCTGTTTTTCCCTTTTACTCTTCACACCCATTCCCTGCTCCCCGCCGCCGCTGCCATCTGCTCTCTTTTTTCTCCTGTTCAGCATTGGCTTCTTCACACCCCACTCCCACGCCCCTTCCCATCCCTCTCCGTCTGTCCAACAGCCCTGTACTTAGATTTCTCCAGTGTTTCTTCATAGATCGGAGAACTTTCCCTTTTTCTAGCAACTTAAGAATCTCAGAGAGTTGACAGATTGATTTTTTTTGTTTTGTTTATTTTTGACTCTGGTAGTAGTAGGTAAATGAAGCCCAGGTGCTGATCCTTTAAGTAAGGTAAGGTCAGCAGAGTTCAGGGGTTTGGTAAACAGCTTGTTTTAGCTCCAGATTTAGTGTTAGTTCTCAGTATTATCAAGGTAAGACCGTACCAAACTGTAAAGTTAAGGTATCATAGTTGCTTTAGACTATTAAATTCAAAACCAAACCAAAACCTATTCATACAGAAGTTAAAGTAGAGTGGATGCTACTTTATCGTCTTTAAAATCAAGAGCACACCCCGCTTCTGAGATTTTTTAGGCTTCAGGGGCCCATGAATATTATAAAATCTAGCAGCACTTTGAATCTAGAAATCATTTCTAGAAGAGTCTAACATGAAAGATTGTATTTATAAAAGGCAAAAATTTCTTCTTTATGTTTTCAGTTTTGATCCATAAATCATCTCCTAAAGTGCCTTATACTTCACCTCCTCAGATATCGAGACTTTTGTTTATGTTTGTACTCCCTCCGTTGCTGCAGATGGCATCCCCTCTGCCCGTGGTGTTCGGGATGTTTGGGCTGACAGACCCACCAGCCTCTGCAGTGTGGGCAGAGCTGGCTGCACCTGGGCACGAAAAAAAAACCTGGAATTCTGTCCATTTCACATATGATACTCTGATTGTAACGTCTGGGTCACCGAGGGCATCAAGACAGCAGTGAGTGGGTGTTCAGACAGCTCTCAGGTGACTCAGAACTGGCCTGAGGCTCTGCATGGTGGCTGAACTTCACTCGGCTTTAAAGCAGTCTGAAAACCAGTGCCTCTTTTTGTGAACACTCGTAGCAAGTGTTGGCTGTTAGAGACTAAATGGTCAGTTAGAAGTAGCCTTTATATTTAAGGAACAGAAGTGTGTGGTGTTGCTCCCAGGCTTATAGCTGTTTATCTGATGGAGTTGAGGATTTGGCTCTCGCACTGATTTCTTCATCATATTGTTGCCACAGTGCAAGTGGAATTTGCCTTGGTAAATCATGTGCACATAGGAAATATGTGTATGTTTGTGTCCCCATACTTTCCTTTAAAATATTGATTTCTCTTACAGGATATAAGAACGCTAGAAGAGAAACTTGAAAAAAAGGTACATTTACGGTCACATCCTGAAATGGTTACTCTTCAGGTAAGAATCTTGGGTCACCTGTAGACACCTACATCTAGACTGTCATTCATTGTGTATCCAAACATTTATGTATACACTTTCTAGATTTATCCCTTTAAAGGACATTTCAAATTTTAATCAACTGAAAGATCTATTTATCGAGGTCCTGTTTACTTTTTATGAAATTTTATTTACATAAGGAGTCTTGTTAAAAATAGGAGACTGGCTCTTAAGGTGATGGTATAGAAATCATAATGAGCATTTCACTTGAAATCTGTGTCCTCTCTGCTGGATTTAAAAATAGCTGTTCACAGTCTCTTCACAGAAAGTTTAATAAGTGGCCTGAATATATGTTTGTTATGGAGTATGGCTTCTAAGTGTTATATTCTGTGAAGCTCGGGAACAGATTGGGGGAAGTTTGGCAGAAACATACATTATTTGATATATGAAAATGTTCATGATGAAAAGGAATTGATTGCAGGGTTTGGGAGAGATTGAGGTTATTTTTCTCTTGGAAAGATGGTCTTTGTCTTAATACTCTTTTGCTGTCTGCTGAAACAGTCTCTAGTATTTGGGGGCTCTTAAATTGTCCTTCCGCTGTCTGTGCCATCTAAGACATTAAGAAAAGCTAGAATCTGGAGGTAGAAGAAAACTTGGTCCCATCAGACAGGCAGCTCTTTGCTTTATGTGATACAGATGGACTGAGGGCATGTCTATTTCTTTGTTTAACTCTGTACCTTACTGTTACTTGTCTAGGGTTCACACACACACACACACACAGACACACTCACACACAGACACAGAGTAAGGGTTAATGCAGCCATGAATACCTAAGAAACTCCCAACCCTAGACCACAGTTGTTATTTTTTCTTAGTTGGCCTTGCACAGCAGGATGAACATGTCAGGCTGTTAACTCAGACCACATAACATAGTTTTATGGGATCCATGTAGACCTATGTTATTTTACTTTTATAAAACCTTATATTTTAAAATTTCCTCACTGTCTAATTGTGTGTCCCCAAACGCCATCTCTGCACAAGAGTTATTTCCCAAAGCTAGAATGGCATTCATGTAACTCTTAACAAAATGCCCCAGAAAGAGTTCTCTGTGATGTTCTGGCTCTTTTTAGCTTCTTATAGCAGTAACCTGAGAACCACAGCCCAGCTTGCAGGACTTGTCAATGCTGTCTATACAAACTCCGATAGATGATGAAGCAGAGAGTGCTGGGTTAATGCCAGTAAAACCTTATTGGCCTTATTCCTGTGTGAAGGCCACTGTGGCTTATTGGGGTCAGTGTTGTTTGTGTGGAAAGTCTTGTGATTGACTTTGAAGTTATTATATTCAAGTCACAAGAAAAAAAATGCTGCTTGTAAAATGAAGAGTATTTTTCTAAAAGATAAAAAATGGATCATTTGCTTTCCCTCCAAAATTCACCTGAGTTCTAAACTACAACATACTGACTGTGGTTTGTTGCCTAATGTTATATCTTTAAAACTGAGTTTCAGAGCAGTAGTTTACATTTTATAATTCCAGTATGAAATTTTCATCCTGGAAAACCATTTTGTGCTTGATTTTTATTGTGAGCTCCCTGAAGTCGGGGACCGCTTTTTGCCTCTTTTTGTATCCCCAGTGTTTATCACAGTTCCTGGCACATAGTAGGCACTTCGTAAGTACTGATTGACTGGGTTTGAAAGTACTAAGCAAAGAAGTGTACCACAGTTCTATATAACAGATCATGCTGTTAGCCACAAGAGGGCGTATCAAAACACCACAAAACTTAATCAAAAACCTGAATTTCTGCCAACCTCTGTGGTTTTGCTGAGAAATTTGAAAATTGAGGAGTAAGTAGCCAGCTTTTTTCTAAAATTAACATAAAATGTTCTTTAGGGAGATTGCATTCCACATCTATATGCATGTATGAGTGTGTGTCTGTATTTGAGGGAATAAACATTTAGACTGTTTTGAAAAGCCAAATCCCATTGCTTGCTTTGCTTTTTTTCCTTTTTGGGTTTTGTTTTTCAGACTCTCTACTGGGCATCAGTAGAGGAAGAGGCCCCCAAGTGGGAGCAGTTTCTTTTAGGAGGAGCACAATATCCCGTTGGTGTTAGATATCAAAATCCAGCAGGAAATGACGTCACAGATGCCACAGAGAGATGACCACAGGAAAGGTGTCGTTTTTCCTTGGGGCTCTGATCCAGAACATCTGCTCAGGCAAGCAAAGCTTACCTGGACATTGTATAAATCCAAAAGAATTTGTTCATCCAAGGGAATATATTAATGTGTATTCTGTTACCTATCTATTTGACAGTTGGTAGAATTTTAAAATTTACTGGAAATTTTGTCAAACCAGGATTGAAATACATTACAGTCTTTTAAAAGAATGATAAGAACTGTTTTTACTTTTAATCTGTCATTTCATCAAACTTTTAAGAATGTAAAAGAAAATTTTGAAAGATGGACTGAATTAAATAAATGGTTAAAATGTATCTTATGTGACTTATTTCATTTTAAAACACTTTTCAGTCCTTTTCATACCTGTCTTGTTTCCATAACCCCTTTTGACAAAAAGCAGTGATTATTACCATTCCGAACTATTTTCTACCTGCCATGAGAAAGAAAAACAACAGAGTGGTTTGCCTAGCACCTTCTATTTGCGTAATTCTTTCTATAATTTAGTTCCTGAATAGATTATCTGGCGTGAGTCTCCCAGCCCTGAGGAAGGCCATTTATCATAACTGACAAAAACCACCACTCCAGAGTCAAAGTGACTTGCTCAGGGTCACAGGCCTGTGGAAAGACTGATCTTCTTATTCCTAGTGTAATTAATACTCTTTGCATTCTACATAACACTTTGTCTCTTGTGTTTAGAAAAGTAAGAACATCCCCTACAATATAATTTTAAAGTATCTGTCAGTTCAGAGAACTGGGCCATAAAGGCCAAAGGCTAACCATCGCCAGAACCTAGCTAACCCTTTGTTTTACTGGAGGGAGCTGGATATATTTCAAATGAACCTGTTAGAATAGGGATTCTGATAGGATTTTTACTTTGTTTTCTAAAGATTGCTTCTCTTATTAAGGAGAGTAATGAACTCTTCTCCCTCTTTTCATCTTTTAACTGTCTTTTCCCTCTCCTCGAGTTCTCAGTGAGGCATCTGTTTACAATTCCTAAACAATATACTTTAAAACTCATTCCAACACTGCCGAGGCTGGCAGTGGGAAGAGTGAGTTTGGGCTCCCTAGTTTTTAGATCCTAGAAGCCAAGGACCAATAGCCATAGACGGAATTCCTCCTAATGAGAATCTATGTTTACTTGAATTATTTTTTGATCATTTTCATTTTAACTTGGCTCATATTAAAATAATACAATAATAGGAATTAAAAAAACAACAACTTTATAATGAAATGTCCATTATGCTGATAAGTTTCTATAAACTGCCATCTTGGAAATATCCTGTTGAGTGGGTGTTGGTGTTTGTAACAATAACGTTGTTTTCATACTATGTGATGGCAGATTAGCACGCTTTTCTGCAGTGTTAACAGTTGTAATTAAGGAATAAACAGTACAGGGTGTCAGTCCGATGACAATTTCATCTATAGTGTCACAATACAAAATGTCACAAAATATTAGAACTGTTATAGAACTACAAAAATATCAAATTAGGTTTAGTCTTAAAAGCTGCAAGCCTTAAAAAAAAAAAAACCTGGCATAGAGACCACCACAGTTTTATACCTTCTCAAGAATGTTCTGTCAGGAAGATAAATTGGTAATTTTTCTTCTGTTACATTACAGTTTGGTTTCTAGCCATCCAGTCGATTTAGCAGGAGAATGCAGGGTGTTTTTTTTTTTTTTTTTTTTTTTTTTAGCAGCTTTGAATTTGTAAACAGATCTAGATGTAGTAGAAAGGAACTTGATAAGGGTTTTTTTTTTTTTACATCAAATCTTTCCTAGCATATGCACATAAGAAGGTGAATTAAAGCAATATGAAACTTATTTCTCTTTAGTCAAGAGGGAAAAAAAAAACAACCTCTAAACATTTGTTAAGATGGTAAAATATTATGTCAAGCAAATAGGCACATTTCAGAATTAAACTGGTTGATAAGTTAACAAACAAATATTTGAACATAAATTTCCTTTGGGTTTTGTAAATTAAATCACTCAACAGCTTAGTTAAATTGCATTCATTTGGGATTTAAAATGATCTTTTCAAAGAATTTTTGCTAAATTGAATAACTTGACAAACAAAATAGCTGAAGTTAACAGTAATGGGCAGTTTACGAAGAATATTTTTCCAGTCCTGGATATAGCATTTCTCCATCGGTGGATACTTTAAAAACCTTCGAGAAATTTAGAGGTGACTGTAATTTCTGGTTCCAACAGAGACTTTTGAAGAGGAATTTTAATTTTTTTTTTTTTTTTTTTTTTTGCCTTTTGGACTGTAACAGATTGCACCACATGGTGTGTATTAAAAAAAAATCTTCAGTGGGACCTACACACCCCATTAAAGGGCTTTATATTCTTTGCAAATTATACCCGATTAGATGGGAATTTGCAGATTGTGTTTTAAGTAAGGAAAGAATTAAGCAACATTTTTGTTTCTGCATTCTTGATAGTAGAATATCAGCAAAGAATCATTTAGAAATATCCTTAACTCTAGCTCTTGACTTCCCACCCATTTCCCTTTTCTTCCCTAGTTTCTTTTGCTTGTTTGTTGGGTCAGTATGTTCTCTGTTCTCTAATGAAATGATGGGGATCATATTTAAAATAATAATCGAAGTTTTCGAAGGGAAGTCTTTTACAAGAATTTGGGACTGCAATCTTTCTTAGTATGTCGCAAGTGCATAAATATTCAAAGCTATTTTTTTTTCCTGAAAGAATCCTGGCTTATGACTTCTTTAACTATGAGATGTGCTGGCTTGGTTTTCTGTTTGGAACTAAGGTTAATGTTTAGGGTAGTAGTTCTCAACCCTTTCTGGAGTTGTGGCATAAAGCCTCCCCTTCCCCACTTAAAAAAAATGTTTTATGCCATGCTGGTTTTTATATTGATTTTAAAATGAGAAATTTGAGAATTTTCTGAGTCTGCTTAAGATAATTGGAAAAATCCTAGGGTTTGGTAAAAATAATACCTGCTCTTTATATAATTCTATAACATTTGCAAATAGCCTTATATCCATTATGTCAGTTGATCCTCAAAATAACCATATGAGGTCAGTACCTCAAGTATCATACCTACTTTTATGGATGAGGATCCTGATAACTGAGAAAAATTAAATGATTTGCCTAGGGTCACATAGCTAGTCAATGCCAGATGCTGAATTTGAATCCAGGCCTCTTTGCTTATTCCTAGCCCATCCCTCTCTCCACTGTACCGCACTCCCCGCCTCCGAATGCAGTGTAGCCATAACACGGACTTAGGGTGTGTACGTTTGTTGCACAAAAGCATAAATTTGATTATTGAATTTTTCTCCTAGAAGATTTGATGCCTTATTTTTCCTTTCATCGTTAATTAATTGGCATCTTTCTGTAAGACAGCTCAGTCATTTATTTTGGAAAAAGAGATTTGGATCAAAATACAAGCATTTATTAAGCACCTACCATATGCCAAGCAGTGCTAAGCTTGAGGATATAAAAACAAAACAGACCTCACCCTCGTGAAACTGACACTGATGTAGAGGCTTAAATAGTTTAAAAGTCAAAACGGGAGGTTTTGATTTTGTTTTTAACCTAGAATTAGCCAACCTTGATTGATGGTCCTAGATCCCTTCCGGCTCTGAGATTCTGAACCTCAGTCTATAATGCTGGTCAGAATGTCCTGCTGTGACCTCTCATAGAACTGAGGTATTGAGATGGTGTTATTCGAAGTGCTAATGACTTTCAGCCCTCAGAAAAAGAAGCCAGTTTGAGATTTGGAACAGGAAGATAGTGAATGAATAAAAAAGGGAGAAGGAGAAGAGGCGGTGGGAGATTTCTTTCGAGAGGGCTTTAAATTGGAAGAAGAGATTTCTGTTTCTCCCGTGACTCAGGACCTAATTTTCTTGACTGAAATTTAATCCCCCATTGCTAATAAAAAAGCTTTCTGGCATAAATATGGAGACACGTCACATTTCAGTAACCAAGACGGGAGATAATTTGTTGACTTGACACCCCTGGTATTGTGATCTCTCTTTGAATGAGACTGAGATTATATACTTGCTAAAATTAAACAAAAGGAAAAAAGTGTGTTCCAAAGAAAGGAGGATAAAAATATTTCCGGACATCGTTTTACTGCTCAGAGTTAAATTTCCCTGCTTTGCGATTGAAAGACTTCAGCTTGAGATAAAGTATGTACACCTGTTGTATATACACTTTTATAAATAAAACACATGTTTTAAACTAATACTTAAAAAGATAATACTGCTGAAGTCTTTGTACTGAAAGACTGGGAAAGAGGAATGAGGAGTTTTAATTGAAAAAGGCAATGAAATTGTCTCCTACTTCAAAGAATGATCCTTGGAGAGTACTCGCCTTAATGATATGAATTTATTCTCATCTTGATTTAATGCTCTGAGGACAAAAGAATTTTTTAGTTCTTCAGCCAAACTGACTTTTTTGGGGCCAAGTTATGGAGGACTGATGAAGACATGTGTCACTCATCTTGGTAGAAAGGTGGTGGACTACGTTGCTGAATAAGAGTAAGTGCCGTCAACATGGTTAATGTGTTGGACTGTTTCGATTATACTCAGTTACAAGGTAGAGTTCTTTTTGCAGGGGTAGTCATTGAGAAATAAATGATGTAAAAAAAAGTAGCATTCATAATAACAAAAAAAAAGGCAAGGTTAAAATTTTTCTAATGTCACAATCACCTTAGGGCAATTCGATCCTATTTATTGTTAGACACACTCTCTTACATGTTTCTTCTGTTCTTTCAATCCCACATTATTCTATCCTGTTTGAGAGCATGACCACTCTCAGACCTTCTGTCCATCCATTTCCTATACTTAAAGATAACTCAAACTTTTCTCCTTGCCAGAGCATCCTTTGAACATCCAGATAAGAAATACCATAAGCTTCCAGGTGGGAAGAGAATCCTGGGCCATTGATCTCCCTCCCCATCCCCCTACCAAGTGGCCCATGGGCAGCCTCTTGTGTCTATTCTATTAAGAGAAGGATGTCAGACGAGGCTGCTGCCTTCTAGCCTTGTAAGGGTCAGGAGAGTGGGCCACCAGACATCCGGGAACTGGAGCCCTGGTCAATTTTTGCAGAGAGAGAGTTAAGTCCTGGGTCACCTGCTTGACCTAGGAAAGTGGTCCATGAAGGGTAGCTGAGAGGTAGTGACGGGGACTTCTCTATCAGCCATGCCATATTTGGAAATGAACTTGGAGGAGCAAATGCTTTGCAGCATTTAAATTCTCTAATTTAGGTGATGCAGTGGATAGAACAGTGGGCTTGGAATTAGGAAGGTGAACCTTCCTAAGTTCAAATTTGACCTCAG